GGTAGGATAGGGTCTCGATACGATCCCTCACCACCACCAACAGCCTTGGGAAAGTCTCGCAATGCCCCTCCCCATCCTCAACCCCACAACCCTCACCATCAGGCTGTTTTTGAAGTATTTGATTCCGCAATGAGACCAGTCCGACGCAGCCCAACTCAGCCCCCACTCCTTTCGAAATGGGCAGTCAAGCGCAGGAGGGGGAGTGATGGTGAGGAAACGGAGGTTGGTATATCTACTTGTACAACATATTCATTGATTGCGACTACTTCATGCTTACCTTTTTTGAATTTTCGCCAAAATTACCAGAGAATCAGCCAAAGCAACCTCCCTCTCCAGCCCCCACAACCACCCACCTTCCAAAAATACAACCACCCTTTTTTCAGTTTCCAGCCTGGTGACCTTCACCGACCCCTAATACGGATTGCCCATCCAAAAAACTCAAATACGATCCCTTGCTGAGAACTCCGCAACGCACGGTTGTCCCTGGTCCCAACACTGCGTCTCATTTATGCTTAAGTAGTCACTACGTAACCCTCCATCGTTCCAGCTTCAGTTATTGAAAATGCGATTTTTGAGATCTACCAGGCGTAATCGACTGTTTCCCCTTTTTCTGCGTAAAATTATTAAGGATCCTCCATGCAATGAACACAATCTCATTATTAGCCATGCTGCACGCTCGAGAAATACACCACCGTAGTTTCTCAAATGCAAAGTTTTTAAATGATACTCTGGGTTTTGGCACTTTTATGCTGTGAATTGGCAGGGTTCTTTACTGCAGATTTCAGATTCGTCACCAAGTCGTGCGTTTTCGGCGGTGGCGGCCACGGCACTACAACCTTCGACTCGCTTTGCGACTGCTGATCTCGTCGCCTCAGTGCTTCACCTTGACTTTTGGGATGACGAACAAGCAAGCACCATGTACGTTCGTCAATTGTTCTTTTAATTGCCCGCTGATTGAAGATCGGGGATGTTTTAGCTGTTTCCTTGTAAAAGTTGTTTCCCGTCGTAAATGCCTAGCATCATAAGTCTTGCATCTTCAATACTGAAGATGATGGGCGTCATGTGTAGAGGGGCGCGGCCTGCAAACTGTGGCATGCATATAATGTTTCGGGTCTATTCCAGTTAGGGGGCATCATGATGCAGTTTTTCCAGAAAGCTAGGTAACTCCGAGCCAGGGGGAGTGTAGCCAGTCTAGGGGGTGGGGGTGAGGGCAGTCACTTGACATGCGTGAAAAGCTGGAATGTTCGAGTTCACCGAAAACTGCATCATGATGCTGACTGGAATAGACCCTAATATCTCTTTTCACGACTTCACCATCCCTTTGAGCGACAAAACTGGTTTAAAACGTCCATGAATGATTCCATCTAAATCAGAAGGGCTTACTGTATATACTGCCTTTAAGTGGAAGTAGGGTAAAGTGAGAGTGGACAAGAGATTATCCCATACTTATTCGTTCTTAATTTGAAGCAACAATCCTAGGTCAAATTGGTGGGGTAAGCGGTTGGTAATGAAATTGTGGATGACAAGTTGAGTGAAAATAAAACAAGAAGCAAAGCAAATTGTTGATGAAGTCTTCAACAGGGACTCTCCCTCTTCCCTCCTCTCCTTCTTGAAATGAGGGAGGGAAGGTTCGGGTGATTTGTCTGACCTTGCTGTACCATGGCTCCACTAACGCGCGCGTATTTCAATAGGCAGGGTGTGTGTCAGTTCTCCTAATAAACCCAGGTCACCTCAAATTAGGGCACCTCTGATTTGCCTTAGCAGGCCTAAGCCTGAGCCTGAGTCTAACCCTAGGCTTGAGCTCAATTCAATGTGCGATGTAAGCCTAAGCCCACCCCTAGTTATACGCCCAGCTTAGGCATCCATGATCGTACGGCTCTGGTGACCTAACCTCGAAATTAATCTAAACTCCCGAATAGCCGCCCCATCGTGATCTACATTTCGTGTCACGGATCTGTACAAGGTACCTCGTCCGTTACTCACTTTAGCCGTATAAGCCCATTTTGTTAGGCCCTAGAGCCATTGCCGCCCACTTTTCACCGCGACAACGGCACAGCTGTATACACCGGGCTACTCTAGTACCCACACTATAGATTGTCCAACACGACCTCATGTAGGGTTGTTGCTTTGAGTATGATGCAGCGGTGATGAGAACAGATGGATACAAAATGGCGACATGTAATATAGGAAAGAAAAGGTTAAAGCAGATTTTCCACAGACTCTGCACGATTTTCCCTTAAGTAAATCCATTTATGAAATATGAGGCGCTCCCTCAATAATATCGAAGGGGTAGCAATCTTGTGGGTCGTGAAATTTCGAACATCTCTGGCTACTGCAGTGCATTTCCTCAAATGTATTTTTAGTGACTAGCCTGAGCACATTTTACACATATTCTGGTTTTTTCTACTTCCATTTGTACATTCGTAGTGGCGTTTGAATGCGATGTGGCCTATACAATGACTTGCGGGGGCCAGCCGATGTACAAGTCAGTGTTTTTATCCTCCCAGACAAGTCTGGTACCAATTAACCGACCCCGGAGGGATGGAAGGCTTGGTTGGCCCGGGCGACTCACGACCCAGGATTTGATCCCCGGACCGCTCGCGTGGTAAGCGTGCCACTTGCCACTACACCACTTAATTAATTCATACTAAATAACTTAAGTTGACCACTGATTCTTTTAGATTCTTCGCGAAACTGGCCTCCGAAATTGTCAGCACGCACTTAGAAATTCCGGAGAAAGTCACAAGAACAATTAAAATGCATTTAGTGGTTCGTTTCTGAATCCCTCTACCATTTTTTGGTTTTTCTCTTTTCTTCCTCTTTCAAATCTCTCATCGAACTCATTGAATCATTTTTAATATGTACAATATGTGAAGCTCCATGCCCCACAAACCACACTTTAGGGCGACGAGAACATTCCTGACATTGCCACCTTGATAACCACAATCAAATCCGACCCACTAGTCATCGAAAATGGAACTATTACTATTCTCGGAGGATTACTGGTGGCATTTGTAAACTCAGGTTGGTCTCAAGTGCACCTTTTTTTCTGAATTTTTCGTAAGCGCCAGTCAATTCAGGTAATTACGACGCCAGATATCGGGTACTTCTTAGGCATCTCGCTACACTGCTGGGTGTTGTCTGGGAAGACTTTGAAGACGTCAGTTTGTTCATTTCCGACGTTGAAAAGGCACCTCTCTTTCGAATGCCCATAGACGATTTCAGATTGAGGATTCGTTAGCGGACACCATCATCGCCGAGGTTTTCGTGGAAACAAAGTAAGCAATAGCTGTTACTCTCTTGATCTCATCTAATTAAAATGAATTCGTCTAAACTGTCAAGATTTCAGAGAAGGCCAACAATCGTGAGTTCTCGTGTAGTGATCAGTGCTGTAAAAGTAGAAAGCCCACCTCGTTCAGTGCATTGTTCTTCATTGCGCAATTCTATTTCAGGCACTCAAAATTGGCTCGCGAAAAAGCGCAGAGGAACAAGAAAATCAAACGATTTCTCCTTGTTGGCGCCGCCGGAGGCATCGGAGGGGTGCTCATCGGTAAGACGTTTCGAGTACTCAAATACTTCCCATAGTTTAGGTGACCGGATCGAGGACTTTTTCCCAAACTCTATCCTTTGGGCTTACTTATTTGGCATTGATACATTGCGTCCTTGTACGAGAGAAACTTTGAAATGAAAGCTTATCAACTAACAGCCGTAAGCCATGTATGGTTTAAATGTAGAACCAAACGTTGCTACGGTTTGTGGTGAACTTCAGATGCTTGGCTCAGTCTGAAAGAAGGGGCCTTACTCGAGCTGAAAATCTCCTTCATCTAGGCCAGGATGGTCCCCTGTCTGCACCGGGAGCTTCCTGCCCTGCGTACGCTTTACGGCTTACAATGACATGTCTAACCCTAACCGCACCTAGGTCTGTTGGTGATGGTTTTCCGCCTCCCCTCCCCAAACACCCCCCCCCCTCTCCCCTCCCTCCACTCTGCTCCAGCTGCCACTGCAGCACCATGTGGAATGACCGGAAGTGTGCTCAGTAGGTGTTTATATAGCCGTTGGGGTGTTATCACAATCATGCCATTGCAAAACATTGATGCTA